ACGTGGCATGGGGAGGGAAAGCGAAAGGGGATTGAGTTGTTCTCCCCTTTCTTTGATGGACTGAGGGAGAGATTTTCTCAATTGAGAAAAAGAATTAGAGACAAGGGTATCTGCTAGAGTCATGTGTTCGCATTCCAATCCTCTTTATGCAAGAATATAGGAAAAGAGGATATCCTTCCATTCCAGTGAAGCTGCTCTGCATTAGCACGTTTTTAGATTTGCGCAGTGTAGTTTATCTGTGTTTGGTTGTCTGCAGAGACCAATGTAAAATCTTACACGGTGCTCAAAGTGGAACTAATGTTGCTTGTATTAGTTGGAACGCCTAATTTGGCCATGTTATCCAACACAGGCTTCCACAAGTTGATGAGGTTAACAAAATTAGAATTCTCTCATGATGTGGATATTCTTATTGTTGTTCTCTTTACTTTTTGAAGGATATTTGTATTGGCTATATGTCCTTGGGTCACTTATGCCTATCTTTGTGAGAGGTTGACGAACTTTTTCTCGTATTTTTTTTATAGTGCATTAAAATGTAGCTCGCGTGAAGTGAAGGCGCAGCGCGTACGTGCGTATGTATGTATATACGGCATACGTTCGTAATACTCTCTCTTTTTTCTCTCGGCATAGACCCCATGCATCCTATGGCCATGCCCATATCCACCTGGGGAGCCCGCGCGCGGCCAAGGGATTGCATGCATGCAGGGGGCGTGATCCGGAAGGACCGGACCAAGCTCCGGCGACGACCTGCTAGCCGCCAGCTGGTCTGGTCAACAAATGATTCGTGCCGAAAGGCGCGCGCGGGCGTGATATATGCACAGCACAGCGAACAGCGAACGAACCGATGGATCGACCACGTGGATCCCTCGATTCCGTACGCAAATCGTCGACACGTACGGCCGCGCTGAACCAAAGGGCAAAAGCTAATTAAGGGCCGCGAATCGAGTACTGTCGCTCCGTTCGTTAGGCTATAAGCCATATTTTTATTTAACAAATAATATTTTTCTCCAACAACAAATCAACCACCACTGCTACTTGGCGTGGGTGCTCAAGCACACGGGAGACGCGTACGCCGCACGCACGTATGTAGACCTGACACTGCCATGGTCAGTGGTCAACACACACACGTGTGTGCACTCGGGACTGAACGCATTCGTCGCCCCGGCTGGCCGACTGTTACAGTAGCTAGCTATCTGCTCTACGTAACTTGAACAGTTCAACTAGGAATTACTGCTACCATATTTTAGCCCTGTTTAGTGCTTGTTTAGTTCCTAAAAAGTACTATAGTAGCCATCACATCAAATCTTGTGATACGTGCATGAAGCATTAAATGTAGACGAAAAAAAACTAATTGCACGGTTTGGTTGGAAATTACGAGACGAACGTTTTAAGCCTAATTAGTCCATGATTGAACACTAATTGCCAAATAAAAACAAAAGTGCTACAGTAGCCGAATTTTCAAAATTCACGAACTAAACACAGCCTTAGTTTTCACCCTAAAACTTTACGTCGTGTCACATCGAATGTTTAGACACATATATGAAGTATTAAATATAGACTAAAAATAACTAATTGCACAGTTTACGACTAATTTACGAGGTAAATCTTTTAAGCCTAATTAGGCCATAATTTGACAATAAAGTGTTACAGTACACACATGTGCTAATGATGAATTAATTAGGTTTAATAAATTCGTCTCGCGATTTACTGACAGATTCTGTAATTTTTTTTATTAGTATCCGGACACCATATATAACATTCAATGTAACGTCCCAAAATTTTACACGCGGGTTCTAAACAAGACCTTACTCTGACACCTTTCTCTTTCTCTCTCTTGTTGCCACTTCTCTTATCGCTGGCTCACTGCCCGTGCGGTGAATATCGTCCTAGATACAGACGTACTGTAGGTAGGTAGGTAGTAGAAGCTAGGGCACGCTGGAATATGTCCGACTGCTGCTGGCCGTACGAATTCTATCTCTCGGCGTGTTGATGATGCACTAATGTCAGATCAAGTCGGGGATAATCACCCGCCACAACTCCACAAGGAAAAAAGGATATGGTAAAACGAAAAGCATGCACACACGTGTAGTCTCAGCTGTGGTTTAATTAATCAGTCTCACAGTCTGATGCATGCCCTTAGCTAGCTGGAGCCTTCGCGTCTTTGACTTGTGCAGTGGCGTGCAGACAAGAGTTGGCTTACCACCACTACATTGCAGCCCTGCACGCTCTCTCTCTCTCTCTCTATATATATATATATATAGTATACTCTGTAGACCTTATTTTGTAGCCAGGCTGACCAACCGCACCATGGCTGCACCGCACCGGTTCTGATCCATCAAGCGCCCAGGTGCATGCAGCAGTCATCAGGGTTTACCATAATTAGTGACGATCCACCATCACCGCTGCCGGTAATTAATTGCTGAAAAATAAATGCAAAAATTAATGGCCACCACCGAGCTCTCCACATATATATTGCGAGTGTGTTTATCTAGATGTGGCATATGTTTCACACATATGTTGAAAGTGTTTTATCTAGATATCGCGTATGTACTTGCAATGGCTTTCAAGTCTTTTTAGGTGTTTTTGCAGGTGTTTCAGCTGTTTCGGACGTATGTTGGATGTGATTCACTGGATGTTGCAATAGTAGATCTCGGGTTGCACGTTGCAATAGTAGATCTCGGGTTGTACATGTTGCAATGGACTCACATGGTGCAGCTCTTAGGGCGCCGCGCGAGAGGGCGCACACATTCCCATGTGCGACTACAGGCGTGTGGGAAAATGAACTGCAAGCACGGACGTCTGGATGCTAGCGTTTGTTAGGACGTCCGGGCACTAGCAGTAGGGGGTGGGGGGCTGGGGTATACGCTTGAAATTTGTTAGTTGGTTTGGAAGGATGAACGAAGGTTTCTTTTTTTATTGGGAAAATGTCGCAAAACTAGATTTTTTTTTTCTTTTGGGATTATTATTCCTTTGGTACTGTTAGAGATATTGTAACGGGTCACGTGTCTAATCTAATCTAATTAGCTTAAAGAGTGCACACACATGATTAGCGCGTACTAAAATTCATCACCCAACGAGACCAACGTAACGACCGGCAGGCAGGCGTAGAGGCGAACGCATGGCAATCTCTGTGGGTGCTCATTCGGCCTCCACCGCAAACCGGCCGCCGGCCAGGCACCGCAGGAGATCGACACGTCAAAGGCGGGGATTTTTCTTTTACTGTGAGGTGTCGACGGCCGGGGGTGTGAGGTGTCGACGTCCTGGGCGCGTACGGCACGCGGCCTGTTGTCGTTGTTACCGCGGGGTGGCTGGGGGGCAGCAAAGTCTGGCGGAGCGGCCAATGGGAACTCGACAGAGGCGGGGGTGACATGATGCGCCTGATGGCTACTACAACGTCCCGGGGTGACAAAAAGGACCTAGGACTAGCCGACCCGGCCCCCTACTGGAGCACCAATCCGCTGTCTCGTCAGGCGCGTCAAGGCAGCAGCAGCAGCCAGCTTTCTCTCCACTCTCATTTCCTTTCTTCGTCACTACTACTACTCCCCCAAAGATCGATTTGTCTCTCTCTTCAGTCTTCATCTTCAACCTGTGCCGCGCGGAGGCGTCGCACAGCAGCAACAACATGGAGCGTCACACAGCAGCTCGGTGGCAGCAACGGCATGGAGCGTCGCACAACGGCATGGTGGAGCATCGCACAACAGCATGTCAGCATGGAGACAGCAGCAACAGCATACAGGGCGGAGCCAAGATTTCATAGCAGGATATTCCCCATACATAAAAAAAATCTCGATACAAAAGTACAATAGTAATAAGCAAAGTAATATAGTGATATAGTGCTATTGTCTCTAATAATTGAGAAAGATTACAAAACATCAAAGCTACTAAAATGTAGCTCTACGGTCTCCTTTTTTGAATTGATTAATGATATCATCTTCTACAATTGGAGTTGGGGGAACTCTGTCCGTGTCCGATTGGGGAGCTCGAGTTTCATCATTTGCTTCACCATCATCCTGTGCTTCCACAGTTGCTAGCTGCAGATTGCTCTCAGCAGGGGACTGGCTCTCAACCTCAACAGGAGGAGGATTTGGTGTGGATGTGGAAGCTGTTTTCTCTGTCTTTGCAGCTTTCTCCCACAATATAAATATGCTAGCACCCTTCTTCTTCACCTACGTTACAAGAATCCAATGCAAAAAAATTATAAAACGAAATCCTAAATTTTAACTCTGAAGAATGGATCGACCTTTCTTTGTGTTACTCGACACTCTCTTTGTGTTCATCAGGCTCACCTTGCTTCAACTTCAACGGTTCATGAGCCTTGCAGAGTCGCGCAACAGACGCCTCGACCGGACCGCTCGTGTAGCGCCGCAGGGCAAGGGAACCGCCGAACTGGGGAAGGGGAGGGGCGAGCGGCGACGGTAGAGGGGGAGGCGCCGAGGCGGCGGCGTGTGGCGTGTCGGGCTGCCGGCACCGAGGGGAGGCTGCCGTGCTGCTACGTGCCTACGCCGCCAGCCGCCACCGCTTCTGTCCTTCCGCGGATCCCGGGCGATGCGAGCGAGAGGCGAGAGACAGAGTACTGAACTGCTGGTGCTGCAATGTCCACCATCGGCCGCCGGAGAAGCGAAGTGCAGGGACGGGACTCGGAGGAGTTTCTGCCTTTCTGTAACTTCATGGGCTTCTGGATGGGCTTATGGGCCAACTTTGTAACTTTTACAACAGCTATATACGTATATGTATAATATATATTTGTTTTTGTCTCAAAAACTTGGTATTCCATGGAACACAGGTGCATACTCCTGCCGCCGCGCCGCCATGACAGCTTGGAGCGTCGCACAGCAGCTCGGTGGCGGCAACACCACCGATCACGACGAGATGTACATGAATCACGGTTAAGGATCAGGACGAGGATTTCTTCAAGCTGCAAACAGATGTACAGTGCTTTAGTAAAGTATAAATAGGACCATGCTAGAAAAATAGATATACAGTGAAACAAATACAATATTCTAATGGAATTGAGTCCTAATCCACGGAGCCGCATCCAAGTTGAATGGGTAGGAGGATATTTTGCAGCTGCTCACCAGGAGAGTTGGCCTACTTCTGCTAGCTTGTATGGAGATGATCGGGTGACACACAGACCTGCGGCTTCACCGGCGGATGGAACCAGGACGACCTCCGGCAGCGGCGACGCCGTGCCTCACCGGGGGATGGAAACCAGGTGCCGTCATCAAAGATTGGGACGTCCAGCTGACTACCTGAGCCTGCTACCACTGGACCGATGGAGTCAGCGCCGACTCCGCAACGCCTCCGGTGGCCGAGGCAGCCCGGGGAGCTGGCCAGGGACGACGCACTCCGGCGGCGCCGAGATGGGGTACTGCAGCCTCCTCGGCGAGACTGCCGACTACGTGCGCTACCTCTGCTCTTCTCCGTCCAATGATCGATCGCCCAATGGAGCAAGTAGGAAGCGCCGTGATTAAGGGGTGTGCTATCCAATCCAATTAAATGGCTAGATTTACGAGCCATCAAAGACAGGCTGCACGGAATTGAATTAATTAATTAACATAATAAGTGTCGGTGGGTCTGTGCGCTTGCCGCTCGATGGTGGTGGCAGTCTGCGCACTTGTAAGCGGTACCTTTTCAAGTAATAAATAATATTTTTCTCTCGTAATAAATCAGCCAATAGTACTTTTAATCATGACTTATCAGTCAAACGAATATGGCACTGGTCGATAGGTTGAGTCCGGCTGTAGAATAATTTATTTTGTAGCTAACTGTAGAAAAAAAAAAACACACACACACATATACATATATATATATATATATATATATATATATATATATATATAGAACTACTGTTCTGCAGCTAGCCATAAAATGAGTTACGATAATTACCATACCGATTTACTAGAGTACAATAACTCCTTACTAAGTGATTTACGATGAATATAACTTATGGTGGACCAACTAGGCTCAAAAGATTCATCTCGTGATTTCCAACTAAACTGTGTAATTAGTTATTTTTTTACCTACATTTAATACTCCATAAATGCTAAAAATTGATGTGATGGAGAGAGAGTGAAAAAACTTGGAATTTGGGATGCATCTAAACAAGGCCTTACTATAACATTATGGTAAATATCACTGTGTGCTATAGTAACATGAGTATCGTAAATGCATATTCATGTTATCGTAAATTGGTACAAACATTATCGTAAATCAAGGTGGCTATAGAATAAGTTATTGTATGTGTATATATATATATATATATATATATATATATATATATATATATATATATATATATATATATATATATATATATATATATATATACCTCGCACGTCTCTCGCTCGTGGTGAATTGGTTAAATTACTTCGTTGTGGGCCAGGGTTCAATACGTTATGCTAACGTGTAGACAATTTGGTTTGTGTTGATCCGGATCGGCAGCTAGCAGAGATTGATTTTGGACAGTCAGGGATCGATATACACCGAGCACGTAATGTCGAATCAAACACAATGCAAGTTGATCCATCCGGGTACACTTAGTGATAGTCACACATATATATATGCATGTTCACACAAGTCCATGCGGCATACGTATCTTTTATTTGTGGACGTGAGAGTATTGCTCGTGAAGACAGACGACTTTCGATGGATATCGATAGAGATGATTAACTGGTGGAGATCGATGCCAGCCAATACATATCTTCCATGCCAACTAGTTATATATGATACGCAGCTCTCGATCCGTTGTTTGAGGATAATAAAAGATAAAAGAGGTGCCTGTTTGAGGAAAAAAAGATGGGTGCCAAGGCACGGTCGATTTGTACTGTACCCTTGTCAATTTAATGATCTTCTTCTACAGCTATATAGCCTCAATGCAACTTGCAAAAGTTATACTGCGACAACCCATACAGATTAACCAGCTGTGTAGTCGACGCAGAGGATTAGCTCTAACAAGGCACGTTAGGTGAAATTAGAACCATTCGTTTTTTATTCTAATATACAAGATGATAATGTCCACTCCATTAGTTTTCATGCATTTCCCCTTTTTACGCTTTGTTTTCTTTTTTTCCTTGTGCGTCCGCACTGGTCACCCCATCCCCCACTCTGGGCTCCAGTTCCGGGCCGGGAACTATTCCCCTGCACATCCATCCCCCATTCCCTTTTTTTTTCTATAATTATAAAAAACAAATAATAAATATAATATTATGAATCTTTGAACCCTTGATCTCTCACTTAAAAACAAAATTTTTCACCCACCAAATTATCGATAAATTTTAATTATAGGAGCAAAACTTATCTTATTAAAACCTAATTTAGCTAGGTTCAACCAATTAAACTATGAACTTCTCCCATCATAATTACCAGTTCTTGACACATTAGTATGCTTCCAACCATGACTAGAGATATATGTGAGACCACGTCAAATGTTGGAACCTAAATTTAAAATCTTTCATTCACACCTTAACATGATTGCCCGCTATTTTGGGCGGACCGATGTGACTAGATATATACATGGGCCCATGCCGAAAATTAAACCCTAAAATTAAGCACCTCATTTTCACACCTTAAAATTATAGTGAAATCGACTCAAAATGTTTTGTGATGACTTAATATGATTCCAGCTACTTTGTGTAGATCCGTGTGCCAAGATATATATGTGGACCCCATGTTATAAGTTTAAGGCTATACATACATTAAAAACTAGTCTATCACTCGAGTAGTTAAGTCCATATAAATCAAATGAATCGAACATTCGATTTTTTGAGTTAATGCCTAATGGATTTTGGATTTTGTTGGATCAAATGATTATGGACATCCAAATCCAAATAGACTCCATCCAAATGCATCCAAATAAACTAAAGTCTAATTAGACTATGAATTATCCAAATCCACTTCCAAGTCTACTTGCCAGTCACCCCTAGTACACATTAAGGTGAGCTTAGTCTTCACTGCCCTTTTATTAAGCTTGCAACCTCGCTTGATTGTCTTGGTACATTATTAGACACTTGATTTTTTAGTTCATTAGAACCAAAGAATTGCTCAATACCTCATTTCCACTCGAGTTGCTCTTCACCTTCCTCAATAGGTACGAGCACAAGCGCCCTAGCTCACGATTCTTCTCCGAAGCACCTACAAAATTTTCCATGGAGTTCACAAGCTCTAAGCCATCTCAGAGACGGCAACCTCTAAGACTAACAAGCAAACCAGCTTGCAAGACGATCACCTAGTGCCATTTGATTACTCTCTCAAATCTTAGCACCAGAATCTTGCTCACACTCTCCAAATATGCAACACTTAGCAAGAATGAGAGTGGATGCTCAATTTAATTCCAATGAGCTTTATACAGTTCTCGCTTTATGCAACTATTAACTTTAGAGGTGTTAAACCTGTCTTCGATCAAGCTGTGTAGAAGCTTATAGTTCATCCATGTATCCATATTTTTCTCTGTCTACTTGAGAATAATAGGTTGCTTACAAGAGACAATTTGTCAAAGAGGCGTTCAAGGATCAGATATCATCTTGTCTAGAGCATCTACCACATCAACATCAACTAAAGTGTAGTGCACTACTACACAAAATCTTTTGAGAGGCGTTTCCAAAATGACCTCGGAGGCGGTTGGGCCGGCTGCCCGCCTTGGTTATTCGTGGCAGGGCAGCCGGTCCAGCAACCGCCTCGGTTAATGCTTAACCGAGGCGGGCAACCTAATGTAACCGCCTCGGTTAATGCCTATTAACCGAGGTAGTTGCCCTGACAGGGCATAGTGGGGTCGCCTTAAAATAACTGCCTTGGTTAATACATATTAACTGAAGCGGGCGCTTAAGGCTACGCGCCTCGGTAAATCATTTACGGAGGCAGTTATTTATAATGTGTCTGCCTCCATAAATCAGCCGAGCCCGCTAATAAATTTCCTGCACTCGTGCACGACAGGTGCTACAGCGCCAGGACCCCACTACGCCCTGTTCTCCGTGCCTAGGATGGCAAAACAACGGGCGCCGCACCTAGATTACCAAAACCGCTATGACATAGCATGCTTCTAGTGGCCATGTGCTTAGTAGGCACACAACGGGCCACACAAATAGCGGCCACACTGCTGCACCATGAAAGAAGCGCCTACACCGCCACGGCCCCCGTGCTTTAGTTTGCATCCGTCAAAGACCTAGATCGCTGACATGGACATATGGACGGTGGGATCGAAGGTCAGCGAATCCATCTCAACCGTCCAATTCATTTGTTCTTCTTCACTGAGAGATATGTCCTTCCCCCTCTCCCTCTCTCGCACATCACGCTCCCTCTCTCTTGTACGAAGGTCACGCTCCCTCCCTCTCTCTCTCTCTCACGCGCATACGCCATGCGCCCCTTCTCCCTCCACTCCGGCCGGCCCCCAACATCTCCACCTCTGGCCAACCCCCTCCACCTCCACCACCGGCTGGCCCCCTTGACCTCCAGCGCGGCGGTGCCCTCCACCTCCACCCGACGGTGGCTGCTCGGCCACTGCGGTGACTCGCTAAGGCACGGCGAACGGGGGCCTATCCCCAGCGGTAGTGGCTCGGTCCCCAGCGGTGGCTCACGAGGATGAGGCGAGTGGAGTTCTAGACCCGACAGCGGCTCACGATGGCGCGACGAGCAGAGTACCAGCCCCCGCGGTGGTTCACGAGGGCACAGGAGTGGGGGTCTTGCCCCGGTGGTGGCTCACGAGGGCACGACGAGCGTTGGTCCTACCCTGGCGGTGGCTCGCAAGGCCTCAATGAGCGGTGGCCTGGCCCTAGCGACAATGGCTTGGGCCCAGCGGTGGCTCGTGATGACGCGGCGAGCGGGCCGGCCTCGGCGGCTCTTCTTGGCGCCAATAGATCCGGCGAGCAGCCTTGGTGCATCGATGGGCGAGGGCGCGACCCCAACGGTGCTTCTCGGCACAACAGATCCAGTGAGTGGCGGCGTGAGGCGTTGATGGGCTCGGTGGGCCTCATGGATTGCCTCGTTGGGCTCATCGATGTTTTTTTAATTTTTTAATCCATTAACTGAGGCAGACCGCTTAGTGTGACCGCCTCCGTTAATGGGTATTAACCATGGCGGTTGTTATATGGTGACCATCTCAGTTAATCGAATAACCAAGGCGGTTGGACCAACCACCTGTTAAGGCCAGATTAACCGTGACTTTTGACGGGGGCGGATGGCTTGCCCACCTCGGTTAATCGATTTTTCCCGCCTCGGTTAAGTTTCCTATAGTAGTGGTGGCATGTTTCATTGATGGTTTCCTTGACAGTTTCATTCACGTTTTCCTGATCGATTTTGTCGGTGTTTTGTAAACCAATGAGTGAATTTATGTGTGTCACGCTGCTCTAGGAAGACGATGATAGCACTCAAAGGCATAAGGAATTATACTAGTTCAGGCTAGAGCCCTATGTCCAGTCTCAAAGATGGTGGCGAGTTTGTGTTCCTTGGTTCAAGTGCTCTGAAGTCTTACAATGGGGGT